GGGGGCCGAAACGCTCAGCCCGAGGCCCCGAAAACTGACTGTTAGGCACCGGAAGTGGTGTTCGACCACGAAGTTGGTCTCCCGGACCGCAGTGTCCTTCAAAAGGGAGTAAATAAGATGCATGCCAAAAACCGGAGCAAACGGAGTGGTTAAGCGGTCCCGAACTAAGGCACACGGCCGTTGGCTCCGAAAAACCAGAAACCGGGCTCCAAACGGGAAAAATGGCCTACGACCACGAAACGTAGCCTACGGCCACTGAGAGATGATCTACGAGACCTCTCCCTCCCTTCGGGAAGAGAAAACAGAGAAAACAGAGCCTGGTTCGCAAACCGAGGCAAGACACGAAAGAGCCCGGAAGTCCGGAGGCAAGGCTCGCAGCCGAGACTCTGAAACTTCTAAACGAGCACAATATGCACCATCACCGAGTGCTCAATCGGTGACGTCTGAGCCTTAAGGTCGGTCAAAAATGGGGTGTCTACAGTTGGTCAATTCTGGGTAGGAAAAAACAATCCTTGGGGTAGGCTTTGTTTAGGTCCATGAAATCGACGCACACTCGCCGAGTCCCATTTTTCTTCTTCACAACCACTGTATTAGAGAGCCATGTAGGGTAGGTCACTTCCCTGATTGCCCCGGCGTCAAGCAGCCTGTCAACCTCCTCAACAATGGCGGTAGTGTGCTCTGCGGCTGACCACCGACTTTTCTGAATAATCGGCTTGCATTTACGGTCAATATTCAAACAGTGCTATGAAACGGACGGATCTATACCTGGCATCTCATATGGAGTCCACGCAAAGACGTCAAGGTTGCTAAGCAGGAAAGAGATTAGCTGCTGTCTGTCGACTTGTCTCAAGGAGGTGCCGACCATGAAGAACTTCTCTGGGCTTCCGTCAATTTCAACTCGATCTAGGCCTTCTGTGGCCTTTTCACTTGGAAGCCGCCCAACATCGTCAAGGCTCTCCCGATCCGGCATCTCAATGGAATTTACTTGTAACTCCTTTGTCGTTTTTCCAGCGATGAGATAACATGCTTATGCTGATTTCTGGGAGCCACAGATTTGCTCAATCCCGCATTCCATCGGGAAGTGCAGCAGCTGATGATACGTACTCGGCACGGCTTGCATGGTGTGCAACCAAGTTCATCCCATAATGAGATTGTACGGCGATGGCAGCTTGACGACCAAGAATTCTACATCCACTGTTCGGGAGCCCGCTCGAATAGGTAGTGTGATTTTCCCCAACGAGTACTCTGGATTGGCGTTGAAGCTAAATAGTGGATAAGGAACCAGAGAGAGATCTGCTTCGGAGAAGCCGAGTTTGGTGAATGTCTTGTAGTACATGACCTCCGATGTGCTCCCCGGATCAATGAGTACGCGCTCAACTGTGAATCGGTTTACACGTAACTCAATTACCAAGGGATCAATGTGGCGTAGTGTCACTCCGACCAAATCTGAATCATCAAAAGTAATGCATGCGGCTTGATGGTGCCGTTTAGCCAGAGTGAGTTAGTTTTGAGGGTCGGAGTTCGACTGAATCGTATGCACTGTCGATGACATTGGCAGGTTGTATATCATGTGGATCACGCCGAACGGTGGTGAATCCTGTCTTAAGGCTATTGCTTTAGTCGGGTTATCTTTTCAGATGCACTGTTGTAGCCGGCCATCTTGTACCAATTCCTCAAAGTGATCGTTCAGTGCATAACAACTCTCAGTATCATGGCCATGGTCCTTGTGATACTCACACCGTCTATCCCGTCTTCTCGTGTCGGGAGGTTCTACCATCTTCGACGGCTACCTTAAGAACGGAAGGTGTTGGGTTTTGGACATAACCACACTGATCGGTTCAGTCAACTCCGTATATTTCTTGTCGGCGCGCCTCGTGCGCCTGCTGTCAACTTGCAGTTGTTTACTTTCTCGGTGGGAGCATTAGTCGCTTGATCGGTGGGAATCCCGTCTCTTGTCTCGTTTGGCCCGATGCCGTGGTTCAGGGCTCTGAGGTGGTATAGAATTTATTGGCCGAGCAATTTCTTCAGGAGCTGTCTTGTTGGCCGTGTTCCCGGCTTTAACCCGCAAAGCGTCATCTTCCACTTTGCAGTATTCTTCAACTTTTTTCATCAACGACCAGACCGTCTTGGGGGGTCTTCTAGTCAAAGAACTGCAGAGAGCGCTGTCAGGGTGTAAACCCATTTTGAAGGCGGTGATGGCCATGGAGTCTTTGCAAGCGTCATCAACAAGATTAAAGCACTCCCAATAGCGCGCCGAATACGCTCTTAGTGTTTCTCCTGGCTGAATCTGCATTGCCCAGAGAGAGTCGGCTTGTTTCGGCTGGACCTCGTTGGTAATGAATCTGGCCCTAAAAGATTTCTGTAATTGATGGAAGCTTTTGACTGAAGCCGACTCCAGTTTATAATACCACCTGATAGCCAAAGGTCCCAAACTGCTGGAAAATATTCGGCACATAAGGGCCTCGTCGTCTGCATGCAATGTCATGGCTTGCTTGTAGTGACGTATGTGATCGGTGGGGTCCGATTTTCCATCATAGAGAGTGAACGACGGAGCTTTAAACTTTTTTGGGCAGAACCGCCCTGGCGATCCATCGTACAAAGGAAGCATGCTGGTTTTCTTCATCTGAGTTGTTTCTTCTGCGCTTATGCCTTATACGTGGACTCTCTTCAGAGGAACTGGAAGTTTCAGATCGCCCTTTCTTCTTGGGCTCCGGGGATAATGAGTCGAGCTGCTATCAATGTCTTGTTGTCGGGCTTGAGATCGTCGACCACCTTCCCTCACAATTCGTTCCGGGCCTTGGCGTACAGCTTGTTTGGACTTCGCCACCTCCAAGGCCAAATCCTGACGGAGACGCTCATTCTCTGCGATCATGTTCTCCAACCTTTATTCGTTGTGCTTTGCTTGTTTCATGATCGCTTGCATTGCTTCATGCTCTGGAGTCGAGGGTGAGGCGAAGTTCAAAGTGCGTCTTACGGGGATAGTCTCCGGTTCAAGCATGTTTGTTGGAGTGAGGTTGTCTCTCTGCGTGGTTTCATCAGTGACTATCGGAGGGTCCTCCGTTACGCCCGCCATGGATGTGTTTGAGTATTCCCACAGACGACGCTAATTGTGGAGAAGTGGTTTGGAAATACTCTTCTGATCTTGGGGAATGGCCGTGATCCTCTGCTAGTCACCTGAAAAGAAATAAACACTCCGGTCAGGGGTGCCGGAATTAGCACTCTAACGGGCAAGCCAGTCTTTACACTCAGGATTACTTGTATTCTAAGTTAAGCTTAGTAGTTCTCACATACCTTTCTCTGATAGGTGATCCCGTATTTATAGTATTCTCTTTGGGCCTTTGGACCGGGCCCATCCTTGATCCGTGACATATACCTCTATTCGGCTTTTGTTCTACTGGCTGGGGTACTGGTTATTTTATTCGGCTCTTCGATTGACTAGGGTATGTGCCGAGTATAGGTTACACTCCGGACCGGACACGCTCATTCGTCCCTATGGATTTGATGAAATTCGGCTCCCACAATTATAATTTTAAAAATTGTGATTATACCTTATTTTTTTATTATAACTTCTGTTTATTAATAATGAGTTTTATAAAATTGAGTTATAATATTTGTAATAATTAAAACTATAAATAATATTATTTGCATTTCTGTAGATTTTTTTCAAAAAGTCAAAAAGTCCTTCCCAAACCAAGCTTTTAAGCCCAGGCTAAAATAGCCAAAAAAACCAAAAAGTCAAAAAGTCAACCCACTTCCCAAACGGAGGCTCAGTATGTTTGGTTAGAGTTTTTTAAAAACTCTTTTCAGAAAATTTTAATTTCTTGTTTTTCGTATTTTTTGTTTTTACTGAATTTTTTTAATATTTTAAGTATTTTTTTTTTTACTTTTTATACATACTTAACATAAACATACCTAAAAAGTAAAAAATTTGTAAAAGAAACCTTTTAAAAATTCACTAAATACCAAAAATAAAAAAATAAAAAAAATACGAGAATTCCGTGCATATTTTGTATTTTTATGTATTTATTAATTTTTTAAAATATTTTTTCATAAATTTTTTACTTTTTAGATACATCTAAGTAAGGTGCATCTAAAAAAAAAATGTTTAAAATTTTAAAAATATTCACTAAAAATAAAAAAAAAACACAAAAATCAAAAAACTTAATTCAAAAAACTCAAACCAAATACACTAATTATTTTTTTAAAGGAAAATTTAGTCAAAAATTTTCCATTGGACCGTTATTTGGTAAAAAGGATAGCCCAATTTATTTCACTTCATGAACCCTTAAGGTGAAAATACATAATTGAGTAAGGATAAAGTAAAATATCTTTTTTTTTTTTTTTTGGACAATATTGCCACAGTAACATGTTACTGTGAATCAGAGTAATATGTTACTGTGAGAAAGAGTAACTCGTTGCTATCAAACAGTGTAACTGTTAAACAGAGTAACATATTACTGTTTACATCAATTTCGATAGTAATATTATTATTATTTTTTTAAGAATTTCACAGTCAACATTGATCTTATTTGATAGATTTTGATGAGAGAATTTTAAAAATGTTAATTTTATTAAAAACCGACATCTACATTAAAAGTTATATTATTTTAAATTTTAGTATTTTGATAATAATAATATGTGTTTTTTTTTAAAAAAATTTATGCTGGTTCTTAATACATTAAAATTTTATTATAAAGAGATTTTGACCAAATCTTTTTTTTTAATTATGATTAATTTATTTTTTAATTATGATAATATTTTAATTATGGTTGATGAGATCTTTGATTATGTTTCACACTATTTAGTTATGATTTTTTTATTTCTAATTATGATTTATAAACTATAAAATTATCCCTTTATGATTTTTTATTTTTAATTATGATTTATAAACTATAAAATTATCCCTTTTTTTTTTTCTTTAAAGTTATAAAGGGACATCCTCTTTACCTACACATATACTTGCATTTGCCACAACACATTTTCCCGCTGGCCAACCGAAACTTCAAATCACTCCTTTCTACTACTCTACTCCTCGGTCTCTCTCTCTCTCTCTCGCTCTTCAAAGTCTTCTGGTTCGTTTCTTTCACCGGGGGTCTTTCTTGATTGCATTCTTATGCAATTATTTTGCGATCGGGGTCTTGCTGAATTTCTCAGAATAACTGGTTATTGGGTTACAAACATCTTAATCTTACGTGGGTTTCATTTTCTTGATCATTTTCCGGGAAAATTCTTCAAGAAAACATGGCAGATGAAAGTACTCAGGAGGTGGAGTTGATTGGTAGGCACGGCCTCATAAAGAAACATGAATTGGTGAGAGTGATCATTCAATGTCTCTACTCATTGGGCTTCAACATTTCTGCATCTCAATTGGAACAAGAATCCAATGTTTCGCGCAAGAATTCACAATTCACAGTGCTTGAATCGCTAATCATGGAAGGAAATTGGCAAGAAAGTATTCGATTTCTTGTCGAGGAAATGAAGGGTCAAATCAAGAGTATAGAAGATCGAGCTTCTGTTCTACAAAACATCCTTGGACAATGCATTTTGGAATATGCAGAGAGAGGCGATTACGCCTCGGGTTTGAGGTTCCTCCGAAGAGATTACTCTGAATTTGGCGTGTTAAAGAGGAGGATAGATCGATTGGGCATGGAATTGTTGTTTAGAGATGATAGAATGAGAGAGCTTAGTCACATGAGAAGAGAGTTGGTGTATGCATTGGAGATAACGCTTCCTCCACCATTTGCGGTGTCTGATAGGAGGTTAGAGAAGTTGGTTGAATTGAGTGTTTACTCTCAGACGTTTTTTTGTAGGTACCACAATACCCGGGATGCGATTTCTCTCTATCAGGACCATTATTGCCCCAACGAAGATCATATCCCAACTCAGACTATTCAGGTTGATTTCTGTTCTTTTTGTTGTTTGATTGATTCAACATTACTTTATTATGAATCCCATTTTCATTTCATCAAAGTCTTTGTCATTTGATTCAATAACAATCTGTTAGATAGCAAGAGATTTGAGTATTAGAATAGAAAGATTGGTTAGATGATGAACTATTGGTTCCAAATTTGTTGTATTCTTGTTTGTTTTCCTTCTAAGAGCATCTCCAACGGTAGTAGGTATTTTACCTATCTAAATATTACTATAAAGTATATATTTTATTTTGCCTATCAACTGTTTTATGTTTTTACTCCAACCATACTCTTTATTTTAGCTATTAATCCAAATACTATTAATTTTATAGAATGCCACGTCAACAACAAAGATGGAGGGAAATGATCTTAATGATTGAATACATTTTGCCTAGCGTTGAAGGCTAGCTACATGTAGCTAGTGAATATGAGTTGAGCCAAAATGCCTAATCATATGCCTAGTGCGTTGGAATTGAAAAAAGTGAATCACACTAGGCATTTTAACTAACAAGTATTATATGCCTAGTGCATTGGAGATGCTCTAAGGGCTTCTTGAAGTCTGAAGAGAATTGGCAGAATTATGTTGTGGAATTCTTTTTGTTCATGTTTAAACTTTGTATTTCTTGTTATTGTTATTATTATATTGTAGTGTAGCACTAGAAATGCTAATGCAGTGCTTGGTTGTGTTTTCATTTCCTGTTTTCAGAAAGCACAGAGAAAACTGTTTCTGAAAACAATTTTTGAGATTTTCTGTTGTTGAAAATGCCCCCTTCCTAGAAAACAACCAAAAAATTGTTTTCAACGTTTCAAAAACTGTTTTCTCACAAATATGAAAACAAAGGGTATTTCTAAACTCTTCATTTTGTGTGTGTGTGTTTTCGAAAACACAAAAAACAAAACAAAAACGAAGAACGTGATTACACAACAAAGCATGCCAACAATCAGATAAGTTAAAAAAGGTCAAAATAGGAGAATTTATGTTGATTTTACACCAGTTGATCAAAACTATATCAGATATGTATATATGATTAAGATTCAAGTGATCCTTTCATCTTCATTCATGGCAAACAAAACAATGTTTTGCAATGCAGATGATGAATAATTCTTCTGTAGAACTATTTTACATGTGCTGTTTTCAAAACATTGCAGGTATTGAATTCCCATGAGAATGAAGTTCTGTTTGTTCAATTTTCACATAATGGGGCATTCTTGGCCTCGGCATCAAGAGACTGCACAGCCATCATATGGAAGGTATTCAATACATGTATATAAAGTTTTGAATTTCTGAATCAAATGTTTTGGATGTGAGTGAAATAATGAACCAACTAGTACTATTTTAATATCAAATGCAAATTGGGTTGGATAGTTTCACATATATGGTTATTGTTGTACATGTGTTAGTGTTGCTCTGATTCTTGGCTTGGTAAGATAGATTATCTAGGAGACAGGTATGATTCGACATAAACGCACATGACAATTTTCAAACAAAGAAGGACACTGCATGACAAGGACAAAAACGGATTTCAATTTTCTAGCTGCTTCTTGTTGATCACTGAAAAATTTCAATTTTTGACTCGTCTTTTCTTTGAAAATTGAATCAGGTGCCCGAGCAAGGTAATTTGACAGTGGAACGTACTCTGCGCGGACATGAAAACCCTGTTTATTTTCTCTCCTGGAGTCCTGACGACACCATGCTAGCCACGTGTGGAGAAGAAACTCTCAATTTATGGGATGTAGAAACTGGAGTGCGGAGGTTTTCATTTCAACCTCGTGTCCCTATCTTGAGCTCTTGTGCTTGGTTTCCAGATTCAACAAGAATAGTTTTTGGATCTTGTGGACCGAGAAAGTGCATCTACAGGTTAAAAATCAATGAGAATAGGCTTACTCGATGGGTTAGAACCAACAAACCCACAATTACTGATTTAGCTATCACGCCCGATGGAGAGAATTTTATTTGTGTCTTTTCGCAAGAATATAACAGTTACATCATAATATGGAACCAAAGAAGGCATACTAAGTTTGTTATCTCAGAGATGTCGCCAATCACTTCAGTTTGTGTCTCTGCTGATAGTTTGTGGCTACTAGTGAATCTCAGCGGCCATGAGATCCACTTGTGGAATGTTGCCGGAAGCTTTGGTGAACCGTACAAACGCTTGCATCGAACGCAAATCAAGTTTGTGATTCATTCTTGCTTTGGGTTGGATGCCAGGTTTTTTGCTAGCGGTAGCGAGGACTCGCAGGTATGTTTAGCTGACAAATCTTTATTTTCCTTGCAGTAATCTTTCTGCCTGATGTTAAAATTTCACACGAATATACGTGTTTTTTGGGAGCAGGTTTATATCTGGCACACCGAATCCCCGGAGCCAATCAAGATTTTAAGAGGCCATTTAATGGTGGTGAACTGCGTAAGCTGGAATCAAAGGCGCCCGGAAATGTTGGCATCAGCAAGCGATGACAAGACCATCCGCATATGGATGGCTGCTTCTCATATCAACTAAGATTCATCATCATCAATTCATGATCAAGCGTCATTGTTGCTGAATTCCGAGCTTGTTTCGTTCAAGTTTATTCTAACAAGTTGGAAGGATCTTCTGATGATTATTCGTGTGCAACTAACCAGCTTTGGAAAACGTTCATTACATAGTTTTCATTTTTGACATTTTCTGCTAATATTCCTGGATTGCAAATTTGAGACAAATGTCACTTCCTCAATAGGACTATTTTCTGATCAGTTCATATAAGAGATTGACAATGTCTCTTCCGTATATGTCCAAAGAGTCCTAGGAGATTGTTTGATAAAAGAGAATTTTAGTGTCACCATTTCATTTCACATCATTGGTGAGTCTATACAACAAATTTCATAAGACTTTTTATATCTAGAAAGAATTTGTAGAAGAAAAGAAACAAGAAAAAAAAAAAAATTCCATTCCCTTGTTCTTTTCCATTGTTTTTTTTCCCCTCACAATTATTCTCTCCTGCAATTTTTTATCCAAACACAACATTATATTTTGGTGGGAAAAAAGATTCTAGCTCATGATATATGCATATGATTGTGACAGAAAAGAGTAATGAGTAAACTAATATGCATTCCCGCTCCTCCATACCAAAACAAAAATATAAATTAAAAAAAAAAAAAATTGCAATGAACTAGAAAAATGATCAAAAAAGGCTATGGTTCAGTGTGCAATGCAGATGATGCATGGTTCAGCATTGTTTGTGACCTGGGGTGCCCCCTTTCACGGACCAATAAAATAAAGTAGTATTGCACCTATGAAATTTTTATGCATTGAATAAGACTAGTGTGAGACTTCCTCCTTTTTGCTAACAAGCGCACGCAGAGAGAGAGAGAGAGCATAAAAACATGATTTAGATAACAAAGAAATCATTTGCAATGCTCATAACAAGCTTCATGGTTTACGTCCAAAAAATACATGTATAGATTGAGTGCACAATCAGTGGTTGCACAGACCATTTACTCAACTTTCTCCACACCTAGATAGATAGGGTACAAGCACTCTAATGCAAACAGAGCAAGCATAGAACATCTTCCTCCAACCTCACTACACTCTAGCTTTCTAAAATATAAACTTTAGAAGTTGAATTAACATCAATGACATAGGCAACAGAACACACTGCTGCAGAAAATATGGATGTTGGACAAGCCGCACCTAGTATTAGATAAAAATAAAATAAAATTAAAGAGTAAAGAAATGGTAAAACTACTCTAACTTCAAATATAGAAACCCTTCACTTTCATTGAAGCCTTGATTTCGGCTTGTCAAGATCCAACCTTAGCAACCATTAAAGAGTAAAGAAATGGTAAAACTACTCTAACTTCAAATATAGAAACCTTTCACTTTCATTGAAGCCTTGATTTCGGTTTGTCAAGATCCAACCTTAGCAACCATTAAAGAGTAAAGAAATGGTAAAACTACTCTAACTTCAAATATAGAAACCCTTCACTTTCATTGAAGCCTTGATTTCGGTTTGTCAAGATCCAACCTTAGCAACCTTCCTCTGCTGAATTTGGCCTGTCAACGGGCATTGCATCTCTGTCCAACTAATTGGAACCATTGTCCCACCTATGGTAATATTATCAAGAGATCAACTCTGGTTAATACACAACAATCTAGAAAAAAAATATTTTTCTAGGGCAAATTATGTATTCAACTAGTTAGAAAAAACAGTAATATTTTCAAAATACAAAGAAGGGGACGGGAGGGAGAATTACCTGCTGGGCTTTCCGCAGATACAACACCCAGTTCATTTTTTGCAGTCGATAGATAATATGCCCTGGCATCTCCAAGGGAGAGCTTACAGCGTGCAGAGTATTAAGGCTAACAATTATCGTCAAATGATTAAAAAGTAATTGAACATACGACTGACACAAATACAGGATACCATTGACCCTCAGCAAAACTGTATCCTAATAATTTGCCTTAGGAAAAAAATCTCAATGGGTGTCACCCATAGTTGTCAAATTGAGAATCATATAGTGAATTCCCATTACATGCATGATAGATCCACTCAATTGTGAGTAATACTTTGTCCATTCCTTATAAATGAAGTTGATTTTCATGAATTAACAAACCGGATTCCTAACAGTCGGGAAAAGTTCCTGAAAGCTTCAGTTGAAAAAGATGCAGGTTAATGATGCAAGTTGCATGGGTAACCCACTGCATTGATTTAATGATATTTAGAAGACAAAACACACACACCAGCAAGCATGTTGTGGTCCACAGGTCCTAGATTAAATTATATGTCATAAATACATTTTCTTATTTGTGCATAATTATGTTAAGGAGACTAGAACTTGAGTCTCTTTGGGGGAATGTGAACTAAGCTGCTTGGATGCCCCAAGGGGACAAATATATGCCATAGACTCAAATAAAAAGAGAATAGATGTAGAGATAGTCCATATTGTTTATATGTTTCACAAACCAAAAAACCATGGGGAATAATAAAACTACAGAAAATGGGTTTTTTAACAACACTTTAAAAGAAGGGAAAATTAATGAAATATAAAGGCACTTTCCTTGCTTGAGTTCACTGTTTCAGGTAGTACGTCATCAGTCATGCCATCAATGGCGTCCACACAAAAAAATTGAACATATACATATGATATTACCAAATTTCAGGTAGTACGTCATCAGTCATGCCAATTAGTGTAAACCTCCATGCGTGTTTATGCAAAACTCATAGTCAATTTTTATTTTATTTTATTATTATTATTATTTTTTTTCAGATTTATTGTAGAATGATAGTAGAGGGGTACCAAACATTAAAGGATACAACTAAAGCTCTGATAATATCACCAGGGCGAAAGGAAGAGTGCATATCCACTTTGTCGATCTCAGTTGCTCTAACATCTTGTTGCCTGTTAGAAATCAACCAACACAGTTTTCTTCATATGCTTCTAAGACTGACAAGAGTTAGATTACATAAATCATAAATATAAAATACACGTTTAAATATTTAAATATTATGACAAAGAAGATATCCTAATGAGAACTCTATTCAGCCTACAGATATACTACTGTCAGGATATCACACCATCCTGTAGTAGTAGTAGAACCAAAAAAATTAAATAAAAAAAATGGTTATAACTTAATCTGTAGCTTATTTTTTAAAAGCAAAATGTGATTATGTGGGTGTTTGGGAAGTTGTTATTTTAGTAGGCTATTTTTGTTCAAATGTTTGTGTTTGGGAAGTTAGTTGAATTTTTTTGTAGTTGGATGTGATGTTTGTGAGAGAAAAAGTGAAATGATTATAGGTTTAATGTGACATTTTGTCTTATTGGTTATTTTAACCTATTTTGTTTTTTTGTAAATTTTAGCCCAAAAAGCCCCAAAAAAGCCCTTCCAATCTATGTTTGATGTGTTCTTATAACCAAAAGTTATGCCACTAAAAGCTGCTTAAACCCAAAATATATATGTACAAAATTACAAAATTTGTCTATTCACATCATAGAAGTCAATTCAATGCAACCTATGTTGCAAGATAAAAGACTAACCACATCCATAGAACCAAAAACAAATTTAAAACAATTTAATCTGAAACTCACTCGGTAAAGATGACTAGAAATTCTTCTAGTCCTTGGAAGTTTAGTAACAGATTTTCAACGCCATAAAAAAGAACAAGTTTAATACCTAATAGTGCCAGTGAACTTTTCTCGCACAGATTTGGGCCCAACACACATTATATCCGTTGACGCCATTCTAGCCATCACTTTAGTAACCTACCATTAGCCAACAAACAATCTATGAAGTGAGGTTCACCTAACCAATGTATATCACACAAAATAAAGAAGTAGCTCACTTGTGATGACAAGAAAATAGCAGCTTAGCTAACAAGATTTAATACAAATAAGAGAAACACAGATGCACGTTCCTCTTTTTATCAGCAACAAAATAGAATTAATATACAAGTGTGATGAAGGAGGTCCAAAGGTCCACAACAAAGAGAAGTGACAAAGAATTTCACACACCACTCTCCAAAAATAATTTTCAAAAATCAAGAGAATTGTTGGATATGCTTTTAGTTGTGTCTGCATAGTTTCATGCCCAACACAACATGATGCGCCTCCATAAAGCGTGTGCGCTTCTTTCAATGTAACATAATAGATATCCAATGATGATAAATGAAATGGTAAAAGTTTGCTTCTCTGTGTTTTTTTTTTCCTTCCTTTTTTATGTATCTAATGCTCTCACACAATATTAACATACACAAGATAAAAAGGACTATTCTTTTTATTACATATGGTCTTATTCATTTGATGTCTCAACAGTTTTCCAAGAAAAAAAATCTCTTCCAAAAGTATATTTTTTAGAGAAACAAGCAGAGCCTTAGGCTAGGCATTTTACCATGAACAAATGAGGATAAATAACTGAGAGGAAACTTACTCGTGCAATGATAATAGAACCAGGCTCAGGTACAGCTCCATGGGCCTTGTGACCTGTAACTTCTACTATTGGTCTCTAAAAAATGATTTAAAAAAAAACAGCAACAAATTATTGTTGTGAGAAGATAAAAAAAAAGAAGGATTTGTAAGTTCAAAGCCTCGAACAATGTTATACAAACATGGTAATAAGAGTTTTACACGAACCTGAGTCGCAAATATTACATGAACATGACCATCAATTTACTATGATAAACATGTAATCTATTAGGATTCCATTGTTATAGATACTATTTGGTGTTGCATTATGATAATATTGGGTAGCAATGATAACAATATTTTTTATCATACCATCTATCTAGCTTATAATTATTTGGTATCTATAGTCTTATATCAAAATGTTTTGGGAATTTTTCTGTGCTATTTTAATGGAAATCACGAGGCATTCCAGTAAATTTGCAATCGTGAAAGTTTATTACCTATCTCAATCTGTACTAATTGTACTTACCCACTCTCTCTCTCTCTCTCTCTCTCTCTCTCTCTCTAAATCTTAGCTTTCAAGGTATTTTCTTCTTTTAAAAAAAAAAACTACACAAATCAACCCTTAACAATTTCCAACAGGTAAAGAAAAAAAACCTCCCCCCCCCCCAAAAAAAAAAAAAAAAACAAAATAAAATAAAAATAAATTATGGGATTTAAACTAATTTTTTTTAGATCGATCTACTATGTGTTTTCTGTTTCTGGATGAAAAAATATTCAGAACTATGACCATGTATTAAGATACTTTCATTTTCCTGGCACTTTCCGAGCAGCCAAACAGAGCTTTTCTCATTTATTTTCCTTTTTCAGCTTAAACCCAAAACCCTAAGTTTTTTTTCAAAAAAAAAACAAGTAATGAAAGTTGTGGGGACCTGGTCGGAGGAGTCGGGCGGAGGAGGGAGAACGGAGCGGCGACCGGTGAGGGAGGCGTAGACGGTGTTATTGTGGGATGCGACGTAGGCACCCTTCCCTGCCTTCAAGTCTGTCGCCTTCCCCAACACGTCACCTGGTGTTACCAACTCTCTCTCGCTTTCTCTTTCTTGCATTCTCTCTCTACAATTTTCTCACTCTTCCGCTTCTTTCTTTCTTTCCCCCTCTCTCTCGAGCCGCGGAGCAGAAGCGCCAGTGGAGTGTTTGGTCGGAGAGAAAGCAAGGGAATGGGGGATTCTTGTAAAAATAAAAAATTATTTCCGGATTATTTTTTATTTTTTTTGTCTTGTTTAAAAAAAAATAATATTGATTGAAAGTTTCTACAATGTTAAAAAATAAAATTTAGACGAAACTTCTGAATAAAAAAACATAAGAAGCCAATTTAAAAGCAGTTAGCCTTTATAATAATAAAATTTTAAATTATTAATTTTAAATATTTGAAATAAGCTATAAATTTATTTAGACCTCGTTTGGCAAGTTAACATTTTAGCTAAAAAGTCAAAAAATCTATAATCAGTACTAAAAAGTCAAAGATTCATTTATCTCTCTACTTTTTGCACATCTTTTCATAAAAAGCCAAAAAATCACTCTAAACATATTAATTTTTTTTACCTCATATTTTAGTTAAAAAGTTACTAAAATAACGTATTCTCAAACGAAGCCTAGTATAACTTATAATGATTTGTGGAAAAAAAAAAGAAAGTATTTTTAAAATTATTTTAAGGACAAGTGTTTAAGGATTTCAAATAAATAAAAATATTACAAATTACTATAGCTTAATAAAACCTCTTACATAAGCTACACAAATTAAATAGGTTATAATTTTAAATTGTAACAAAATACCATTAATCAATATATTCAAGTAAATAAGTTGATTTGAATAAATAAATAAAGTAAATAAGTTGATTATAAGCGAGGCATAAATCTTGTGTCAGTTAAAATAATGGTCCTTGTGATTGCAGGTTTGGCTAACGTTGCGCACACAGTTTTTTTCCTTTTTTTTTTTTTTTTTGATAAATAACATTGCAGAGAAAGACGTTAATAATGAATTTCACTCTAATCCGAGCTAGACCTACCTCAATGGCTCACTCTTTAGTTATTTGAGGTAAAAAGTTACAATATAATTTCCTATCAAAATTGAAGAAAATACAGTTCGTATAACACCACATAACATATTGTATAACCAAAATTGAACTGCAGCCAAACAACATTTTTTAAAAGTCACTCTCTCTCCGATAACATCCCTGAAAACATGTATATATACATTGCTGAAAACATGTATATATAACATTCCTGAAACTCATTCCTGTGCCTGAAACGTTGTGTGCACTATCTTCAGAACCATCATCAAGAAGCGTTGGACAAGCCATCACCGGAATCCTCTGACTCTGAACCATCGTCAATCATCTTGTCTAGTGAATCCACATCCCCACTATCAGAGACAGTGTGTAGTCGAAGCTTCTCTGCATCTTCACTGGCAAAATTTAAAAACCAGAAAGAATTTAAGAAATTATCAGTGAAAGTTCTAAAGCCAGGCACAGATAAGCGACTGAAAATTCAAGGGATGTGGTTTACTCTGCAACTCCGAATATTTCTTTCACGATTAAGGAGCTATCTCTTGAACAGAACTCGGGCAGCTGGTCCACAAAGTACAATAAAACCTCCGATCAATTCAACAATAATAAAATACAGGAGGACTAGTTTAATCAAAATACAAATCAAATCTCAAATCAACAGACAGAAGACATATCCTCGAACTAAGGGGTAACCTCTAGGGTTAGAGAGAAAAACCAGAGCACTTAGCTCAATCAAAATCTATGTTCTTTAATTAAAAACTAAGTACAATAGATGTTATATCACCCATTTATAGACTACAACTAAAAGTAATAGGACACTTAAATCACTAACTAGACATTTACAAACTGATAACACATAAGCATAAGACTCATTCTGACAATTAAGGCATTTATTCTTCTACGTCAAGAACAGTTGACCAGACCCCAATGGCAGATTAAACATTTCTTAGCTCTTCAAACCTCAAAAGACCATATTAAAAATATGGCTTTATTTATTTATTTGATAGACAATTTTTAGCCTAAGATAGTTATAACGAAAACTTAGTTACAATAAAAAATTAGGTACGAATGTTTAGGAAACCAGCTTGAAAATATGGCGAGTTCTGATAGCTGGTTTACATATTCCTTAAGAATTGAATCAAAGACAGATGGGGTTAAACAAGATAAGCCGCTGCTTGATTAATAAAATAACTCAAACTTAATAGATAGTGGTTGTTTTGGGCTACTATTACTAGCAACAACATCCATTGAGCATTATGATAAATTATTTTCAATTTATTACGAGCTTTCAACAGATAACAGATAGCTACAAGTTTCCCATTAATTGCTTTTTCAATCTAAGACAAAAACAGAGAAATTTTTGTTGAAAATAACATAGCAAGTGAACTATGTTCTCAAGTTCAAAAATGTAATATACAAAATATGAAAGGAACATAGCAGTGGAGAAGGTCACGACTTTGAGCAAGGATCCTCTAGAGTGATTTTTCCCTAAAGTTTCCTAAAGTGCTACAGTGTATGGTTGAGATTTACTGGCAAGTCACATCAATTTTTCTGATGTGACTTGCCAATAAATCTCAACCACACAATATAGCACTCTAGGAAACTTTAGGAAAATTTCACTCTAGAGGATCCTTGGTGCACGACTTTGGCCATTAAGCCCCTTACCTCAGATAGATAATAGACCTTCCCAAAAAGAGCTTGCACAGCAAGTTTTCTCTTGAAACCCTTCTCAGAATATCCCGATATATCCATCACAACCGGACCTACAATACATAAAACCAACCATCAGCAACCAACAGCGTTGCATCAATACTTTTTAAAATCGACAACGATGAACCCACACTAAAATACAGTTCCAACTTCTAATTTTGTTTTTCTTTTCAACACATGCCCTTTAGTGATACCCATCTCTGAAACATCCAATGTAGACATAGCTTCCAGACCATGACACCATGGGATATACTATTGAGACTTGTTACAGATCAATTTATAAGCATAAAAAAGCACAAGTGATCATGGATGTATTACAAAATATCAGAAGATATCGATTGTCACTGTCAGTGGTGATCGAAAAAACCTCACAATTACCAGAGAACCTATCAAATTTCTTGAGTAACAAAGAACCATTATCATCAACGTCAAATGAGAACTCAACCTAAATGGGACCACTCACATCCTTCTTAAAACCCCCTCCACAACTCCATCCAAAAACCCTTCCTCTGCCTCATCACCCTCCCTCACTACTTTAAACCCAGGACCCGTCTTCATGTCCCCTTTTACAGCATCAGCCCCACAATCTACCACCCCTTTACTATTTTTGTGAAACCAACTGACCCCATTCTGCCCCTATCCTAAATCTAACAGCCCTCTCTAATCCACTGTTCCAGAATCTTAGCAAACACATTCTTCCCAACTCCACAATGACATGCCTCCATAACCAACCCCCTCTCACAAACACACTAGCACCAATAGCCACTCCCATTTGTGCAACCTCGCCATCAAAATTGTTATGCTTCCTAGAAGAGGAACTGCAGCAAGTACGAAAGGTTACTCTTGCATAAAACAACACAACTTATACGATAAAAAACATCAACATTGTGGTGAGAAAAAATATAAATTTTACATTGATGCAAACTTCAACTTGATGCAGTAAATGACTGAAGAAGTCAGATTTGCCAACAAAATTAACTTTTATATGATACATTTTTGCAGATAAAAACTGTCATGTGTGGAAAAATTATAATAACTAGTCTTGAGCACGTCAAATGTAGACACAGACCCATGCAAGAAGGCTATAAACAGCTATTGCCATGTATAAATAATGGTGAACATTAATCCAACTAAGAATCTAAGATGAATATTTTGCAAGTAATTAACATTTTCATATAGCTAAATATGACGAAGGTCAACCAGAACATGCAATTAACATATACAATAATACAATGAATTGCCTTTGTCTTTAACAATCCGTCTTGAGATATCATTTAAAATTTCAGCAACTTGAGAATCATCCAACGAAGAAGCTTTCCTCAGCTGGATCAGGTTTGCAACCAAGTTTGGGTTGAAGGGCTTCTCATTCAATGCATAACGAATGTATTTGCGCAAAATCTCCTCCATGCCAAAATCTGTCTGCATAAGAATTAACATCATGATACTCAAAACAGTTGCTTGACAAATATTAACCGTGATGATAGGACAAATCACATAAGCATCTAAGAGCACAATCAGAATAAATTATAAAAGAAAAGAAGTAAGCAACATATAACTTGGAATGTGATGGGAACCTGTAAAGCAGACAATGTCATATAGAATATGAAAGAAGTTAACCTTGAAGACATCATCTATTGGCATATTTGGAGGAAAAACATATTTAAAAGGACATGTATAAAAACTTTAAGATGTCTAATTTTGTTTGAAAAAGGGATCAACTTAGTTCAACATCTAATCATAAACAAAGGAAGATCTAACAAATGGCATGATATTTCGAAGCAAAAAAGACAGCACAATAAAGTATGAAAACTTCATCTTTAACCATACCTTAGGTCAAAATCACACAAGAATGAAGCAATCCAATGAATTGTGTGTAAATAGAGTTTCAACATGTCCACTATTGCATGAAAGAGATAAAAATGGATCTGCCAATCTTACATTCACTTAGATGGGGGGGAAAAAAAAACATAAGAGATCAAGTCAGGGGGCATATCCGTGCCATGTGCCTCACCTTTTGCATTAGTCCCATCAAATCCGATTGTTCTACTCCATCACTTCCTTTTTCAAGTAACTCGTCTATCGATTTGCAAATCATAGCATTCTTATTGACCTGAAGACGTTATGCCAAGTTAGGAAGCAATCACTAAATTGTTGAGCAAAATAATTCAAAAAAGAAGACTAGTTCTTGAATCTGGGTGAAGTGTTTCAGTTCTTAAGATTGTCCAAACTACATCATGGTTGGACAATTCTTACCAACAATGTATTCAACCAACCAAATATAGGCAATGGAAGTACCCTAAACAAAATTTTGACTAATCAAATGTTGTTATAATTGAAATTGATCTCCTTTTCTTTTCCATTAGCGTCACTTTTTGTACACCAAGTGGTTGAGATCTTGAAGTTCCATATTTCAATTACAGATCATCATACATACTCACCTCACTGAAATTGGGTCCAAGATACAGTTGGGCTTGGGCATACTTAAAAGAATAATGGTTGATTAAAAAATAATATAATCTAGATAGTCAAAAACTCCTGATAATGATTGTGCAATGTCTGTATTAGAAAAATGAAATGAAAAAATAAAACTAAGGATATCTCCAGCCCATACCCTTTACCTGTATTAAATTAAATTCGAGTAAAATAACCCCCAACACTCTCTCCACTTATTTACTCAAACTCATATCATATCAAAATGAGTTTAACTCGAATCGAGTGAGACTCAACTGCTTACTCAAATTTTACAAAGCTATTTTGCGCTTTTCAAATTTACTGCTTAAGAGTTTTATCCATTGGAGTGTTCCATATCAAATAAAGCTTTTACTTAAATTTAAGTAAAAACTGGAAACTGGGCATCTCCAACCAACCCTTACCCAAATCTTGACTCAAACTTAAATTTGAGCAAAACAACCACTCAAATCCCCTCCATGCCTTTACTCAAACCTATACCAAATTGAGTTTTACTCAAATGTTGACTCAAGTCAAATCAGGGAGACCCATTTCCTTTACTCAAATTTCTATCCCACATAGGTGCTTTTAACTAAATTCTCCAAGTTCTCCATTACCCCCAACTCCTAAAACTTGACACTCAGTAATTTTACTCGAATTTGAGTTTTATCGACTGGAGTGCATGATATCGAAAAAGCTTTTTACACTTTGAGTAAAAGTACAAGGAATACTAGCACGACTTAAAGTCTGAACATATTTTTGTCAACATGGATCGAAATTCGAAAGCAGATAATCAGAACAAGAGCATAGAGAGAGATAGAGAAAAAAAGGGAAGAAGTGAGACCAATTTGCGACGAATCTCCTTGGGGGAATTGAACTTGCGGACGGTCTTGACGAAGGCGATGACGAAGGAGATTCCAACGTAAGCCAAAGGAAGTGCGAGAATCCACGGCAAGGAGCTGCGGCCAACTCGGGGACCCGGAATCGCCTGCGTGACTGAGCCAGTGAACTCCACTAGGTCCAGCGCTTTCTCCTGAATCCATGGCAAGTCCTCTTCCACCTCTTGTTGTTCTTCTTCTTCTTCTACTACTACTTCTTCTTCTGATTGCTTCTTTGTTTTATCATCATGAGTGCTAGGGTTTGTATTCCTCGGCGCGGCTGATGCTGAAACCATACGAATTAGGGAGGAGGAGGAGGAGGAGAAGGTAGAGAGGGCCGATGAGAAGGGAGTGTGTCTGGGTCTGATTGTGAGAATGGTGGAGGGGAAGAAGGAGAATGCAGTAGCATTAGGAGAAGTAGTCATGGTAATTGTTCTTCGTCTTCTTCTTGATGGTGTTGGTGTTGGTGTTGATAAGCAGGGAAGAACAAGGCTTTCGGTAGAAGAGGAAGCCATTAGTGCCGACGACGCCATTGAAGTTGGGGTTGCGCTGCTGCGGTGAGGCTACCTGCCTGCCTACCTGCCCTCCCACACTACTGCCACTTGGGCTTGTTAATTATTTTTTTTTTTTTTACGACTACGGCTATTAGCTCATCAATTATTTTACCTCTTTTATTTTTTAAAATTCTTTTTTATTACAATAATAATTTCAAATAAAATTATTAAAAAATATATTACTAATAATTTTAGAATATTTTACCTTATAATTAAGTTTATACATTCACTACATCATGAGTTAAAATTTATGAGAGTACTTATTTTCATCAGCGCCCATCTCTCTTTTCCAAATCCTACCTTTAAAACTTACCCATCTTCAAAATCTTAAAAATCTTTTGGTGGCAATATTCCAACGGTAATGGTAACAACCATTTGATTACCTATACTTCTCCAACAATGACAATGAGTGGAAATTTTTTTAGCAACCATAATTCCATAAAATGGAAAGAGTACAACAATAAAAACTCAGAGAATGTTTATAACTTTAATGATATTCTTAACTTAGAGGATATTAGTCTTCTAAGAGTAAGTTTCTTGAAAAGAATGGCAAAAATAATAAAAACTGTTCGTCAATTTGTGGGATTGAACTTCCAAATATATGACCAAAATTTGGAAATACAAAACTGAACATTATTTATTTGTTTGACAACAAGGAATCGAATATTTCTTATTTGCTCAGAAACAGATAACCAAACATTATTAATGAACCTTTTCCCAACTTTAAAATCACAAAACCCAAGTAAGATAAGGAACAATAATTAAAACTATTAGAGAATTCAAAGAAACTCACCTAAGAGATCATAAATCCAAACTCGTAGAGATCATAGAACCCACAAAAAGAAAATTTTGAATCAACAACAAAAAATCCTACACTTATTTTCTCAAGTCATCAAGAAGTATGTGAAGATGAAGTAGTAATCACCTTCGTGAGTTTTGTCATGTTTTTGGGAGAGAGGTCTTTCAGAGTGTAGGGATGTGTATTCAATTGAATAGGTGAAATATTTTCACAAGGATAATTTTGGTATTATTTGAAGGGAGAAAAGAAATTTTAAAGGTTTTAGAATTTACAAATGAGGGTCCAAATAAATGACTGATCTAAAATAATTGATGGGATGTTAATAGCAACACTCTTTTTTATTTTTTCTGCTTTTTATTTTTTTGGTAAATTACTAATACACCCCATGCAATTTGTTTAAAATGCAAATTATTCTATATAATTTTAAAATTTGTAAATATCTTTTTTATTTAATAGAGTTAATAGAAAAAATAAGGGTAAATTACAAATACATCCCTTGAGGTTTACTTAAAATATGAATTGACCCATGTAGTTTGAAAAATTACAAATGCCTCCCTATTAAAAAATTTTATTTAACAGAATTAATTGAAAAAATGAAATTTCTAACTATTCACCTATACAATAATAAAATTATCTGAACTATTAATTAAAACAAAATTTTAACATTATTAAAAATTGTTAATTAACTTGATAATTTATTAATAAAATGACCTATTTGCTATGAAATTAGAAATCTTAGGAGGCATAATGTAATTTCTAGAACCACAGGAGGTAATTTGTAATTTAAGTAAACCTCAGAGGGTGTATTTGTAATTTACCTAAAAAATAAAATTCCTAACTATTCTTCTATACAATAATATAATTACTTGAATTTTTAATTAAAATATTTTTCTAATACCATTAAAAACTGTTAATTAACCTAATGATTTATTAATAAAAAGAACAATTTGTTATGCAACTAGAAACTTGAAGGAGGACGTAATTTTTAAAATTACAGCAGATAATTCGTATTTAAAATAAATTTTAGTAGATAAATTTGTAATTTATCTTTTTTTGGGGTGCTTGTTATTATTTAATAAAGTTAATAGAAAAAATATGGGTAAATTACAAATGCATCCCTTGAGATTTACTTAAACTATGAATTGCCCCATGTGGTTTGAAAAATTACAAATACCTCCCTGTCAGAAATTTTTTATTTAATAGAATTAATTAAAAAAATGAAATTTCTAACTATTCACCTATACAATAATAAAATTATTTGAATTATTAATTGAAATAAAATTTTAACATTATTAAAAACCGTTAATTAACTTGATAATTCATTAATAAAATGACCTATTTGTTATGAAATTAGAAATTTTAGGAGGCATAATGTAATTTCTAGAACCATGAAATAACTAAGAGGGAAAAATATGGTCTGGATTGGGCCATGGTAATACCAGGCAAATTGTGGGCCGAACACATTTGGGTCGTGGTATCTCGGGTCCACCCAAAAGTGATTTTTTGCTCGGTAATAGCAAGGGCATGTGGAACCGGGCTACTTCACCTTATCGGCACGGAGGCCGGTCAAGTAAGGGTTCCATGGTTTATACGTTGCGCGGTTGGAAAGCACGCATCCATAGCTCGGCGTGAAGGCTCATGCCTGAAGCTCGACCGGAAGGACTTTGGTTGACCGGCATGACCAATCTCAAGCTTGGCTTCGCCGGAATACAGTTGAGCATGGTCGGAAAGGAGCTCGGTTGTTGGGGGCACCTGGGCATGAAACGCAGCTTGGCCGTTGACAGCCGAGATGCTACAGCCCGGCTGCCAAGCTCCCAATACAGTGGGCTAGCAGTCGGGTTAGGTGATGTTTAGCAAGATTTGTGCTGACAAATGGGATAGCAGAACCACGTGTTGAGAGATCACTGGGAGTAGATTTGGGGCGCAGAAGGTATATAAGCAAGTCTGCGCCCCCATACTGGACAAACGAACATTGGGTAAGAGAAATACTTACACTCAACTCTCTCCTCACTCTCTCTATCCACAGGTGTGTGCTAACTTGATCGTCGGAGGGGTTTTTCGACCACACACCGCCGGGTAGCTTACTGCTGTTGTGCACGCAGGTGATCGGATAGAAATGGAGCTTGGAAGCAAGGAGTGCGGGCTTGCTTGAATATTTGTTCCCCGCACAATTGGCGCCGTCTGTGGGAATTTTGCAGACAAAACCTTGTCTTCCAGGCTCGTTTGATCACCGTCCATGGCAAACAACGAAGAGATTCCGCTGTCCGTCGTCGACGGAGTTACCCCGGAGTCGGGCAAACAGAGAGAAGGGCATCCCACCATTGTTCCTCCGATGGCGGACCTGGAGACTTCTCCAGGAGGACACTCAAGAGACGCGCGGGATAAGCGTGGAAGAAGTTATGGTCATTCACGGAGTCCAGACGGTCATCGGCGGCGGAGAGAATCGCACGCCAGACGACTGGAACACAAGCTTAGGGATCAAGATGCCGTCATCCGGCGAATGGCGGCGGAGATGGAGGATCTTAAACGGCAGGTCAAAGGAAAGGGTGTAGCTGGAGTGGGCGACCACAGTGAGCGCACCCAACCACGCCATTCAAGCAGTCAGAACCAGCGGCGTACTCCGTCCATCTCAATCACCAGAAGTTACAAGGTTGGAGATTCCGACGCGCACGAAGAGAAATCCAGCGCGCAAGATAGTACCTACCGACCCTCACGTCCGGCGACGACGTCGAGGTATTCTTATTCTGCCCATTCAGAGGATTTACGGGCAGTCTTGAAGGAACGGGCTCGCCAGCGGGAGGCTCAGAGGGTGCCGGCTTTCCAACGGCTATCCTATGGGGTTCACGCCAGTGAAGAGGTCGGAATGCCTCCACCCCGCCTGCTGAGCCTCTTCTTTTAGATACAGACTTGGCGAGGCTGAGCGCCACTGTCACGCCCCAAACTCGCCCCTAAAAGTTCGGGCATGACCTATGCAAATACGGACACATAACCTGATATACATAACATATGGGGCCTGAACGGAAGCATTTAATATTACAAAGCAACATAGAATAACATCCATTGAGCTAAAACTAACATGCCAGGATCACATACGTGAGAGCCATTTATCTATATACATACCCATACATATAAATGAGCGTATATCCGAACATTGGTAAAGAAAGGGGGTATAAACATACATTTTAACCTTAAGTAAATAATTAAAGTGCAAGCCAAAATCTTAACAAAACTTCACATAAATGCATGGGCTTGGTCTGGGAGTCTGGGCATACTGAGGTTGACAATTGAAGGGTGAGCATCAAGGGTTAAGACGGACTCCCAAAGTAATTACCTACAGAACAGACATAACACAAAGTGAGCAAAGCTCAGTGAATAATAGTACATAAATGATTCAATGCTCAACTTGAAGTATAGTACATATCAATGCATACATAAATAAAGAGGGCATAAGGTTAATTGATTCTGCACTAATTTCATAACGGCCTTAGGCGTAGTCTTGAAACATAATGACTTAAAACATAATATCTTGAAACATGATGGCTTTAAGCCCTTGAACAGAGTAGCAATAGGCCCTTGAACATATTGGCATTAAGCCCTTAAACGTGTTGGAATTGAGCCCTTGAACATGTTGGCATTAAGCCCTTGAACTTGTGTGTATGAACTCAAGAGGTGGCTCGCATAGATTCTAGATGTGACTCGCATTGCAACACTTAGTTCCGTGCAGCACTTAGTTCCGTACAGCACTTTGTTTCATACTAATAGATCTTACAGATCATACAAAATGGCCATAGGCCTCATAACTTTCACAGAACAGCTTTCAGCCTCATAACTTTCACATATGTATGGACTTAAGAGGTGGCTCGTACGGATTCTAGAGGTAACTCGCACTGCAGCACTTAGTTCCGTACAGCACGTTGCTCCATACCAAAAATACAGAATGGCCTCTGGCCTAATAGATCATATAGAATGGCCATAGGCCCAGATTGACTTTAAGCCTAGTTCATATATATATGGATTCAAGAGGTGTCTCACATGGACTCTAGAGGTGGCTCACAATGTAGCACTTAGTTCCAAGTAGCATTTGTTCCATACCAGTAATTAATGGGTCTTACAGACCAAACCATACATATCATGTCATACCATAAACGGAAACAAATTGATACATATACATTATACTTGAATCATAAACAGAAATCAGAATTCATACTTGATTATACTTGGCACTTCGCTAGCGCTAACAAATCAATATAAAGCATTCTTGTTAGTTCCATAAAGGAATCCCCTGATAC